CTCAAGATCTCGGGAGTATGAGTGTATAGATAAGAAAATTTCCTTCAGTTAACCAGCAATTGATATTCTCTATAATCCCTTCCCAATTGCTGAAACCCTCACACTAGATTAAATTTCGTAGCATACACTGAGGCGCATCAAAAAATAGATTCCATGTTGCATTATCATATCTATATTATCTATCTAAACTATCTATCTATTATGATATCTATATTATTATATACTATTAGGTATTAAATCTAAATAAGGCTTTATAAATATAAATGCTATCATAAAAAACACATATTTCTTTTTTTATTATTTTTATTAGTGTATAATTTATTATTTAAATATGTTATAAAATTTGTTTATCGTATAAAATATACTCTTATTCTTGTTCCGCACCTATATATATGTATATATACAACATATATATGTATATATATACATATATATACATGAATATATAGAAAAATTACAATTGTAGTATTTTTTTTTGTTTTGTTTTTGTTTTGTTTTTTGTTTTTTGTTGCTTTTCACACATTATTACACAATTACAATTACAATTTTTTAACTGCAACTCGTTATTTGTTACTTGACTTATGCATGTATGTATGTATGTATGAATGTATGCATATATATATATATATGTAATATGTATATGTATGTTATGTAATACTCTTTTCTGTATCTAATACATCGTGCTGCTATGTAGAACTGATGAATATATATACATAATATATATATATTTATGTATATGTATGTATGTCTATATAATATGTTTGTGTGTGAGTGTGTATGTAGCAAGGAAATCATATCGAGAGAGGAGAATTTTCTTTTCTTATTTTGGTTTTTCCATTTGGTAAATTTCATTCATTTTTTATTTATATTTAAATATATGTATGTAGAGTATTTGTAATTCGTTATGTATGTAGTTTTTAGTTTATACATATTTATATGATGTACATATGCTGTATGTAAGTGATGTAGCAAGCATTTGCAGACAGTTCGACTATTTAAATACACTATGTATATTTATACATATATGTATGTATGTATGTATGCATGCACATACACACATACATACATACATATATGCAGCTAGTTGTAACTCTATATGTAGCATTCATTATATCTACGATTTATTTATTTTTATTTTTTTTGCGAAACCAGTAGCTGGCTATATATATATATATAATATATATAATTATGATTTTTTGTTAATTTTCTTTTAATTGTTTTTTTTTTTTTTAAGTTTTTCCTTAATTTTTTTTTTCTTGTTTTTTAAATCATGCTTAAAAATTAAATTTGTACTCGTTTTGTACTCAATTGCTCCATAATTATTACAATATGTAAAGATGTATAGATGTATGTATGTATGCATGAATGTATGTATAGATGTATACATGTGTAGTGGATGTGTGTGTGTATGTAGTCATGAATTGATGAGTAATGTATTCAGAATGTACGCCTACATCGATGTTTCGATAGTGTTCTAATGTTTAGCTGATGCTGATGTATTTATGAACGATAGAGGCTCTCTATAGAGATGAATGCATCGATGTAATGAATGTCTGTCTATTGATGATGTGATGTATGTATGATGTATGTATGATTTATGATGTATGTATGTATGTCTATGTATGTGTGGATGCATTAACAAACAAAAATAGAAAAGGGAAATATGCTAGCTTTCATCTATGTTTCACGTAGTTGGGTTTCTGTAATCTCTTCAGTTTAAGTCCGAATTCATCCTCAATATACATGTATAAAAAATTTATTCAAAATTGTATTTTGATATAAGAATTCCAAATTGATGTTTTTCTTTTACAAATAGGTTAGATCTGCACATTTAGAGCTATTGGATCTGGCCTTAAGTTCAGTTTAGTTTTACGCTTACATCTAAATACTATATATGTATATGTATATATCTATGTATGTATGTGTGTTTGTATGAGTGTATGTGTGTGTGTGTATATAGTACATATTGTATGTTTGACAAAAAATCTGTGAATACCTGATTTAAGTTTTTGGATTCGTTCTTTCATTTTGCTTTTGTAGTTCGTTAAATGAGCGTATGGGAAATATCGGTTCTATATAATATATATATGTATATATGTATATGCAGTGAAAATATTTGTTTTTGGTATGTAAATGTTTTTTAATTAACTATTTTTAAATGTTTGCTTGATGCTACGTTGATTTTCTCTTAGATAACTTTTTGTTTTTTCTTTTGTTTTGTTTTGTTTTTTGATTCTTAAGCCTTTGGCAAATTGTTCAGTATTCAGTTTTACTTTATGTTATTAATCATATATATGTATATATATAAATGCTTTTTATTTTGAATTATGGCATTCGGTAGTACTTGCGAAACTTCTTCAAAAGTTTCTTTCTTTGTTTGTCTCTTTGCTTTTTTTTACACAATTTCAGAACTGTGGCTTTTAGAAAACGTCGCTCATTTGAAATGATTTTAGTATTTGCTTATTTATGTTTTTATTTTTAAGTAAATCTCACACAATCAAGAAATTTGTTTTCTTTGCTTTTAGTAAAATATGGCATTTCTCATATGTCTTATATATGATATATAGATATATATAAATATGTGAGTTTATGTTTCAAAACCAGCACAAATAAAATCACAATTCAAAATTATAAATGAACGGCGCCTTAAGGTGGTGTGCGTGTGCGTGTGGGTGTCTGTGTTTGGGTCTTGAGTTGATGTAAAATAAATGTTGATGGCATTGTTTTTTTTTTTAAATCAGGAATCTTTTTACATACAAATGGTTGTTGTTGTTTTGTTTTTGTTTTAAGACTAAGTACATAAACTTTTCTCTAAGCGATACATATATATTGTATATATATATTTTATTTTTTAGTTTTCATATATTTAAATGTTTACTTTGTTTTGTTTTTTGTTTTTTTTTCGTCAGTTTTGCGCATTTTATGCGAGTTGCTTTAAATGTGGAAGGAGTTTTTTTGTTTTTTGTTTTTCATATTTAAGCACAAAAAACTCGTTTGAAAAACACAAAAAAATGCAAAAATCGAGGCAAAAAATAATGAAATAATTAAGAATAGTTATATATCTATGAAAACATAGTCTAATGCAATGGCAATCAGTTTAATACTCTTTCCATAATTCGGCTACTATATATGTAATATTTTTTTTTTGTATTTGTAATTATGTTTTTATTTTTTTCTTTTTCTTTTTATATATATATGTCGTATAGTGTGATTTCGTAATTAATTATCTTTTGTATTTACCTTCATAATTCATTCGAGGAACATGTCACCTAAAATATGTATTCAATACGCGCATATTGCTCTGTTTCAAACTCCTCTTCGTTCCCATGTTTCTTCTTCTTTTAACTATGTCCTGGCTAGATTTTCGATATTCATTTTTTTTATTTTTAAGTTATTTAGTTTTTAAGTTTCTGCTACTAAATGCTAATGAACACATTCAAGTCAAAAATTATACTAATAATAATAATGACAATAATAATAATAATAATGACAATGATAATTATAATGAGCATAATTATAATGTAAAACATATATTTAGTGATTCGTATGTAGATGTGTGTATCTATGTGTGTATGTGTGTGTATCAGTTAAACTCGGTTTAAGCTAAGCCCATATTTTATTATGCATTTTATATGAAATTTGTTTTATGAATTAGTTGATGGATTTTATGATTGAAATTGGTTAAGAATTTGTTTTTGGAATTTTGAAGGAATTTTATATCAAATATGTTAAACATTTTTACAAATTTTATCGAATTGTGAATTATTTTATAAATATATTTTATTTTATAAATATTTATAAACAACTTTGTGAAAGTTTTCAATTATTTAAAATAAACTTTTCAGTTTTAGACAGTTTTGAATGAATGATTTTATAAATTATTATATGAATTATAAAATTAAACATCAGTTATTTTTATGAATTTTAAATGAATTATATGCATTTTTTTTTAATATTTTCGGATTGTATCATTTCAAAATATATATTTTTTATAAAATATATACTTTTGTTGGAGATATTTCTTTGAAAATTTTCAAAATTTTTAAATGAGTCTATGCATTTTTAAATACATTTGGACAAATTTGAAATGAATCATTTTGTTAACCATTTGTGAGTTATTTGAGGAATTATTTATAAAGGGTTAATGAATTATCTTGGATGTATGACTGTATTTCATGATGCTGAGTTTCCCTACATATACATATGTATATACACACATATATGAATATATAGTATATCGTATATCGCATATATGTATATGTATATATATCATCTTCATGTTAAACTATGTTTTAAGTTACGTTACGTTTATCAAATGTCATTGCAATTATATTTGTTTGTTGTCATAGTTTTAGTTTTAGTTTTAGTTATAGTTTTTGTTTGTTTTTTGGCCTCACCTTAAAAGGTGTTTCAATTGGCTTTACAATTGCCGTTTTTGTTTTTAATCAGTCTTCGTTTAAGAGTTCAACCAAATAAAGTCAGCGGGTTTACAATTATATCTCCTCTATACATATATATAAATATATATGTATATATTTACATATACACATATATATCGCTATCATATTATCGTTATCGATTTTTTATACCTTTTACAAAAGTTTCTTTTTTCATACTTTCTTTCTCACTTTTACTCAGTCTCAATTATAAGAAAATTATTTGTAATATAAACAAATATCTGTAAAATACAGAATATATATATGATATATATTCCGAGACACAATTAAAATCAATTCAAATAGAACTAAACAAAAAGTTTGTTAAAAAAAAAAAAAAACAACTAATTATTGAGTAACTCGTCAGGAAACAAAAAACTATGCATCTATATAGAGAGAACTTAACAAAGGACATATTCGATCATATCTCTCTCTCTCTCTCTCTGTCGCGCGCGCGCTCTGTATTTATTCCTCCTTGTGTCTCTTGCTTTTTAACTAAGTTAGATAGTTAGTTAGATAGATGTTTCAGCAACTCAGCCTAACTAACAGTTAATTATAGTTTTATTCATCTACAACTTTTTGTGTTCTTGACTTGCATATAGAGAGCTAATCTCTCTCTCTTTCTCTTCTCTTTGTGTGGTGTTTTATTCTGCATTTCTGTAATGCTAATCTTTGCATTTGCTAGAACTCTCCCTCTCCTACTTCTTCTTCCATTACTCTTCTCTCTTTCTTTTTCCTTGCTCTTTTTTTCCTTCCGTCTTCTCTTCGTTTTTACTCTCCATCCCTCGCGCTCTGTTTGTTCTAGTTTCTCGCTAGCCTAAAAAAATCTACTTTATGCACATTCTCTCTTTCTAATTTCTTCTTTTGTTGGTATTTTGCTTGAATTTTTTGTTTTGTTTATCTGGTATATTCGCTAAATATATATGTATTTTATTTATATATTGTAAATTACCAAATTTCTTTTAATAACTCTTAAGCTTTATCGAGGTAATCGTTGTAGCACTTAAGCTAAAAAAATTTTTACTAATTTTAATGCCATTTCTTTTGTGTTTCAATATTTTAGTTTTTTGCATGTTTTTTTTTTTTTTTTTTTTTTGGTTTTTAAATGGTTTAAAAAAAAGAAAAAAAAAA